TATAATATATAATATATAATATATAATATATAATATATAATATATAATACAGATTATTATCATTAATACCCCTGCATTATATATACTAATTATTGATGCACTTCATGTTAATTTTTTTTTCTGTATATATTAATTTCAAAATTTTAATTAATTAATTATTATTTTTGCTGCTGTCTTCGTTCTTCTTTCTTCTTTATTTCTGCTGTTTTATATAGATAATCATATATTATTATTAAATATATATAATATATAATATATATATGTATATATATATATATTCTATATATAATTACATATATATATTATATTTCTATGAACTTTTCATCTCTTTTTTATTTTTATTTTTAAGCCGATTACTTTTCGATGTTTTCTTTGGGAATAATTTAAACAAAAAAATGCAAAATAAATTAAATAATATAAATCAGTATAACAATAACAACAATAATAATAATAAGATAATTGTTATAATATAAAAATAATATTAATATAATAGTATAATGATAATAATAAAATAATAAAATAAGAGGACTCATAATACACCACTGAAAATAATATAAAATAAAAAATAATTATAATTTAATAGCAAATGAAATCAAATAAAAGAAAAACAGAAAGATATATAATAAAAGAGTAGATGAGTAATGCATAACAAACAAACAAATGAAACAAAAACAAATATTAAGACGCACTTAAATATAGAAAATATCTTTTTATGTTTTTGTTGTACTTGTTTGTTTGTATGGTTTATTTGTTTTCTCTTTTGTTTCATTTGTTTGTTTTGTAAGCATTATTTATTTATTCTTTTATTTTATATCCTTCTGTTTTCCTTTTATTTGACTATGCACAAGTTCTTTTGCTGTTATTTTTAATTTATTTATTGAAGAGGCTGTTAAAAGAGTTAATAAAATCCTATTAGAAACAAATAATTTAAAACAGTTAAAACAACTAAATATACGAAGACAAATCTCTCTGCTGCGTTTTATCTTGCTTCTTTACTTCTTTCTTTCACAGCTACTCTATGCATGCAGATTTTTTCTTTATCTTCATTTAAAATAAAAATACTCGTTTTAATCGAATATCCATGTGTTATAGGGCTGCATTTAGGGGTTTAGGGTTTAGCTTTAGGGTTTAGGGTTTAGCGTTAGGGTTAGGGTTTAGGGTTTAGTGTTTAGGGCCAGGGTTTAGGGTTTAGGGTGCCTCAGCGCACACTATAGATATGAAACCCTTGTGATAAAAAAGAAAAGATTAAATTAATTTACTAAAAATAAAAACAATTAAGTTTAATTATTTTATTTAAAATAAAAACAATTAAATATATTCAAAATAGAGTGAGGAAGCAAAACAAAAAAAAACAGTACGCAGTTATTAAACTGTTTTTCTAGGCGAAGTAGACAAATATATCTAACTGCATGCAACATATATACGTATATATACATGAATATAATTAAATATATATTTATATATATTTATATTATATTTATATGCAAGATTACTCTCTCTTCATACCTAACTCTCCTTTGCTGTCTTTGTTTGTCTTGCAGCACTGAAGTGTATTTCCTTCTCTTTTATTCTGTTTAACTTTGGGGGTTTAGGGTTTAGGGTTTAGGGTTTGGGGTTTTATTATAGCTAGCAGAGTTTTAGAATCTGTCTACAGAAGAAAGGCGGGAAAATGAAGTATTTTAATTTTAAATTGTTAAGAAAATGCACATTAAAGAGAAGACAGAGACTGAAGAGAGAAATCTGAATAAAGATTTCTTTCTTTATTTATGCATTTATATATTTGTGTATTTGTTTATTTATTTTTTTGTTAACACCGCAGCATTTCTTGTTGTCTGAGGTGCAGACACAGGGGTAAATAAAAACAAGTAGCAGAGAGAAGCTCAATAATGCGAGGAGTTGATTTAGTATAAGAGAAAAAGAATAAGAGAATTAAAGAGTGATAATAAAGAAGTGGTATTCTTTAAAAGTAAAGACAAACGAATTACACAAGAAATAAACAAAAAGAAAACAAACTCTAAGCCCTTCTGCTCCTTTAATGAGACAGCTGCTGCTGCTGCTGCTGTTGCTGCAGCAGCAGCAAACACCACCCCCGAGCAGCAGCCGTAAATGTCTGCTATCATGAGGGGATGAGTTTGCATAAAATTACGTAGAAAAGATTATATTTATTTTTTGTATTGTAAATAAAACGTAGACAGAAACAAAACCAACATATTCTAGACAACAACAACTACAACAACAACAGCACTACGCATGCTCTATAGAGTGGAGTAATGTGTGTGATGAAGTTAAGGTATTGGCCGCTGCAGGATTAGAGAATACACAAAATATATGTTTAATTTAGGTTAATTTATACTTATTATTCAAATAAGACATCATAAACAGCGATAAAACAAAGCGAAAACATAACCCAGAAGCAGCGTCATCTAACAGAGGCTGCTGCTTCACAACCCCTGAGTATACAACAAGCCCCCTAACCTCCCCTGTGCGGTTGCGGCGGTGGCGGCTGTTATTTTGTGTATCATTTGCGGATTTTATTCGAATAAAAAGGAGAATTTCGTTCAATTTATTGAAATATTAACCCTTTTGAGCTTTAGGTGAGTCAAAGGATGCCCCTATTCTGAGATATAGACTGCTTTCTACCTCAGAGGTATATTAGGGTGTTGAAGCGGCTGGTGAAGAGGGAAGGGTTTCTGTGAGTATTTCATGATTAATTTTCTTCGTTTTTTCGTAGCACTAGATAATTTTATGTTTTTAATTTTAAATCTTATAAGGAAACACGTTTTTGTATGCGTTTTACCGCATGTTCAGGTACTTTCTTAACCTGCAATCATGTCCGGGAAGGGTCCAGCACAGAAATCTCAGGCCGCGAAGAAGACGGCTGGGAAGTCTTTAGGGCCTCGTTACAGGCGTCGTAAGAGAACCGAGTCATTTGCATTATATATTTATAAAGTTTTAAAGCAAGTACACCCTGAAACCGGCGTATCAAAGAAGAGCATGAGTATAATGAATTCCTTTATCAATGATATCTTTGATAGACTTGCAGATGAAGCTGTTCGCCTTATTCGCTATAATAAAAAAAGAACACTTTCTTCTCGCGAAATTCAAACAGCTGTACGTCTGCTCTTACCTGGGGAGTTGAGCAAACACGCAGTTTCTGAAGGAACGAAGGCGGTTTCGAAGTATACAACATCGGGGGCGTAATGATCTTCTGCTGTTCTAAACAAGTAGCAATGAAATATTCAGTCAAACGAGGGATTATTATAAATATTATTGCATATTTATATAGATCTTGTTCATATAAAGATATGTCTATACATGTATCTTTATATTGATACACGTATATATATGTATGTATATACATATATTTTCCAGCTTGTATATCTGCTATTTGCGAATACAAAGAGGAATATATATATACATATATATACATATATATATTATATATGTATATATATATGTATGTATATATCTACATATATATTCATGTTCTTTACGGATAGTTTCGCAGCCTCCCACTGCAAGACAAACAAAGTAAAGTGGATTACAAAGGGGGGCAAGGAGAATTAATTTAAATTGTGTTTTGACGTCTTTTCAGCATTTTAGCTGTACACTATGAAGCAGCATTTATAATTTCTTCCTTTTTGCTGTTCATTTCCTTGAATTGTTTACCTAATGAAACAGCGTTGTGCATATTAATATCACTGAAGCTGCTCAATGCGTCTTTAGTGGCTTCTTCTCGCTGTTTCCTTTTCTTCCTTTTACCTCAACTACAGTAGAATACGCATTTATTTTACACTTGATGAACGTGTTTATACAACAACCTTTCTCGTCTAACCATCACTAGATTCTAGATTATATATATATTATATATACTGAGAGATAGACAGAGACAGATGCCCTGATATATATATATATATATGTATATATATTACATTATATAATATATATATGGCTCGGTCCATAGTCGTGCTGAGAGTTAGGAGTTGTTAGCGTTCTTCTTTCTTTAGTTATTGTTGTTTTAGTTGATAGGGATAATTACAATAGAGCAGCAATAATAATATTATTTCTTTTGAGTTTATGATAAACAGCATAGCGAGGTAATGAAAGGCGTTGTTGCTGCTTCATTAGTTATTGCTTTTGTTGCAGCAGGAATTGTTTACTTGCTGTCGTTATTAAAGAAGAAGCACTGAAACAAATCTAAAAAATATATTTGTAAACACTCACCGGCACGCCGCTCTTCTTGTCTGTTCATTAGCTGGGTACCTATAATAATTATGAATAGTATACATACATGTACGTATATATATATATATATATACCTGTATTGTATATGCTAAATGTTGTATATTACACGACATAGAATATATAATATCTCCTTTATACCCATTTTATTTATTAGGGGGCAGATAAGCGTGGCGACGGCTCCTTATAATTATTTTTTTAGTACAGTG